TTAGTAATAATATATAAGAGAGAGGTATAATATTTAATCTATTGGATAGTCCAAAGATCAATTTTAGTAATAATTTGTGGTATTAAAATAGGAGGTAATAATAGACTAGAAAGAGAATAATGAGTTGAGCTTGTAGAAGATATAATTGAAGACTGTGCTGAATGTGAGATACAATATGGAATTCATAATTGTTTATATATTTGTTAGTTTAAATAAAGAAGAAATTTAATAAAAAGAGAGATAGCTATATGATAAGAAATAGAAGTATTATAAATAGTAGAAACAAGGTTGATAGAAACTAAGCCAGATAAAGTAGAAATAAGAGATAGTATATGAGAAAAGTTGTGCAGTTTAAAACTGTTAAGTATAAGAATTTCTTGATGTAGATTAAAAACAGAATTAGCAGACATGTTGAGAGCAATAGCATTTAAGATGCAGTTAAGAGAATTAGAGATTAGATGGTAAATTGTTTGAGTAAAAGGACAAAGAGTTTAGTGTAGTAAGAAACTAGTTTGGTTGCATTAGTGGCAAAGAGGAAAGTAAAAAGAGTTACATTTGTGAAGAGTATAGAGAACAGGTAGTTCATTCAAAAGAATTTTAATATGAAAGGTTTTTAGAGTAGAGAAATGAAAACTATAAGCAAAGTTATTTTGATAAATAGTCAGATATTGATAAAAATAAAAAGTTTAATATTTTGGATTAGTTTTGACAAAATTAGCAGAACAGATATACTCTTCTGCTTTTGCTGCTAGTTTATCTAAAACTGTAATAGAAATTTGGTTAATAAATATGGCTTTATATTTTCCTTTAATATAGAATAGTGAAGCATCAAGAAAAAGTTTATTTTAAGTTTTAATTTCTTTTAAATAAGTGTTATATGATGTATCAAATATATTTTTAATAAGAGGATAGTGATCCTAGTGTAGTGGTTGGGTTGTTATTTTCCAAGTGGCAGGTCTAAGGTTCAAATCCTACCTATGACAAAATTTGAAAATTAACTTGTATTAAAGCAACTGTCTCTTAACGATCAGTTGGATTTGTGTATCTGTAACCTTAAGTCACACTATCTCAAATGGAAGCTTAGGTCTTCTATGCCAAGTATAACATTACATGTATATAGAGAAATATTAATAACCAGTATCACATAAGACTTCAGTGCAACCCATAATAAGACCACTAGACACAGTAAACTAAGGAACCAAAAAGTTGAAAACTCATTTGAAAATTTCTGAGTAAAGAGGTAGCATGAACTTTTGACAGTATGGTCAGACTGATAGAAGCCTATGAAACACCTCCAAAGAAATAGGCAAATAAACCAAATGTCAAGATGTATAGAGAAGCATATGACCAATCAGGCCACTAGAATTATTAGAAGAAAAGAATATATAAATATACCATATTAGGCTATCTGGATTGGAAGTTAGGGGAGTTCTGTCAGTCCTGAGTAGCAGTTAGTAAGGGATAATGAAGAAGATGTCATGATGATAGGTACTAAGGTTTTAGTAAACTTTACAAGAATAGAAATAGTATAACATAGTGATTAAATAGATAACCCTTGTAACTGCAAGTATTAGGTAACTATAGCATATTGCATAAAACTAGATCAGCTATATGTAGGATATAGAAGGTTTTAGTAAGTTTCTTGTCAAGGATAAACTAGTCTTAAAGGTACTTGAAGACATTAGGTATTTTGGATAGATGTAGCCTTAAAGATGTTCCCATAAGACATAGTAGACTACATATACAGAGAGATTAAATAGACAAGACCTGTAGTTGGCTTGCAGGTAACCAAGAAATTATTGTTAGCAAAGAACTTCTAACAACCAGAGTGAGAGAAAAAATTTCCGAAGAAAGAAGATTAGTAGGAAAAATTATCAGTCAAGTAAAATCTGCCAAGAAAAATCCGCAAACTCGGCTAAATATTGATGAGCCCCAATTACAAGCCCATTTACAAGAAGAGATGAAAAAATGAGAAGCCCAAAAAATTCCTAAGATTATCTGGTACCTAGTATAGAACCTATATAGTAATGTATAAGCAAACTACTTAAATTCAGTACCAAAAGTGCACATGTGACTAGTTGTAACCTCCAATATAAGGGAGCTCCTGAAGGCATCTGTGTCCAAATATATGAATAAAAACATTAACTTCTATAGACAAAGACTTTAACTCAAAAAAAAAATATATATATATATTTTTAATGAGTTTAGTTAAGTTGTATATAAGTTGTAGCTTAGGGTTTGTTTTTTAAGTATTATTAGTTTTTTTTTATTTTTAGATTCTTTTTCTTTGTTAAATTCCTTTTCTTTATTTTTGGTTATAATTAATTCAAGATAAGAACATTTAGTATTTGTGCAGATAAGTATATAATGATTAGCATGTTTAAAGATTTTGTTACATCTTTTATAAAAACTAGTTGGTTTTTTAAACTCAATAGTAGTAGGTATAAGTTTTTTAAGGTAAGAAATAAAATATTGTCTAAATTTATACTTAAGGTTGTTTTGAACTTTGGTTTTGTTAATAGTATTAGAAAATTGAGAACTATATATAGAAAAGATTTTTTTAAACTATTCATTAAAGTGGTCAAGTAAATTTTTTAAGATGATATTGTTACAGGGTTGTAGCCTTCTTGGTACAATACAACCAAGTAACAAGGTCACCTAGTATAGTGATTAACTATTGCAAATATATATAGGGTGGAGGTATAGTAGTAGAGGTTGGAACCGGTTCTAATAATTCGGGTTTATCACATGAATTTTGTGATATTAAAGAATTTATTAAAATTTAATTGGATAAATTTCCATAATATCACAAGATTTATGTGATAAACCCGAATTATTAAAACTGATTCCAACCTCTATATAGTAGTTCACTTTACTACACAGCAGTAGGCAAATGGTTCAAGATAGTAACAGTATATAGATTAACTTTTATTAAATAAATACACAGTGACAACCTTGCCTGTA